TAAAAGAAACATAAGGAAAAAAAAAACTACAGAAGGACTCGGAAACAGACATCCCAGAGTACAAGGAGCAGAAGCTCAGGGACCCAGACTGGAGGCCAAGTGCAGAGAGAGGGCAGGGGACAGAGATCGGCCACAGCTCCAGAGAGCATCCTCAAGGGGACAGAGATAAGGAGAAATCCATGGGGGAAAAGAAGGGATGACCAGGACAAGGAAGCTGAAGGACAAGGCCCAAGAGCATAACTTGGAGAAGCACCAGAGCTGAGGCAAAGGCTGGGAGAGGGACCAGAGTCTGACTGAGAGCACCATGTGTGGAGGGAAGAACCCAAGCTGGCAGGCATGCACCACAACCTGTGGGACCTGAATATACTCAGGCCGCCACCCTCCAAATTGACTTTCCTGAGTGCAGGATGCAGTCAGAATGGTAAACAAAGAAACTGAGGTAGAATTTCAAAGAGATATGGGACTGCACCAGCATGCAGAGGATGTAGTGAGGAATAATGGAAAAGATAAAGCCTTGAGAAGGAAGTACAGCTACGACGAGGGCCCCGCCACGTGGAAGCTGGCTCCAAGGCTGGGAAGTGATGACTGTGGAAATTGAAAAGGAAGACATCAACTTAGAAAATGTTTGAGCTGACAACTACACAGCCAATTTTGAAGATGATTTTGAAGACCATGAAGATGACTTTGAGGTTTGTGATGGAGAGGATTAGTTCGCACTAATGAGCCAGAATCGAGAGAATTGAAGAACTTCCCTCAGCCAGAAAAAAAAGGAGATAAAGAAATTCAAAATGCATTAATGCAGAAAATGAAAAGACTGATGTACACAATTCCAGAGCCCATTTGTGGAATTTTTGTGAGTTTTGCAACTGCCTCACACTGTCAAAAGTCAGGACTCAGGCCCTTAAGCAAAATTTGGTCTCCTGGGAAATTTGTGTAAGGTATTGAAAAACAGAGATTTTCATTGTTTCAAAAACAAAAACAACAAAAATATTTAAATAAAGGAGAGAGTTCAGCTAAGAAAACAGCTTTCCTAAGCAAGAGAAGAACCGAAGCTGATACATGGAGAACAGATGACCTCAGAAAACACCTTTGGGCTGCACAGTCGGGCACTCCCAGGGGAAGTAAGAAACACAAGGACTTGGAAATGGATGTCACAAAGTCCAAGCAGCAGAACTCTAGGGACCAAGACAAGGAGGCCAAGTACAGAGAGAGGGCGGGGGACAGAGACCAGCCACAGCTCCAGGGATCATACTTGCAGGGACAGAGACAAGGAGAAGCCATGGGGGAAGAGAGAAGCTGAGGGACAAAGCCTGAGGGCATGACTTGGAAAGTACCAGAGCCGAGGCAAAGACTGGGAGAGGGACCAAGAGCACTGCCTGCACGGGAGGAGTCCAAGCTGGAGGCCACATGCCGCAACCTGTGGGACTTGGGACGTGTGTGGGCCATCCCCCAAACTGACCTGCCGAGTGCAGGATGTGGTCAGAATGGTGAACACAGAAACCGAGGTGGAAGTTCAAAGAGATATGGCACCAGCATGCAGAGAATGTAGTGAGGAACCGTGGAAAATATAAAGACTCGAGAGGGAAGCACAGCCATAATCAGGGCCCCGCCATGTGAAAGCTGACTCCGAGGCCGGGAAGTGAAGACACTGAAAACTAAAAAGGAAGACAGTGACTTAGAAAACGTTCAGCTAAAAGAACAGGTTTGCTTTGCTAAGGAAACTACAACTTGGTTGTGGGATTCTATTCCTGTCTTTTCCTCTATAAAAAGTGAATTCAAGGGGGAAGATACCAAGATGGCGGTGGGATTACGTGGAAGTTACAGTGACATTCTCCCAGGACCAAATTGGAATTACAACTAAAATATAAAAAAATCATCCTGAATAACCAACTGAAGATTAGCTGGAGAGAACCCTTATAACCAAAGATGTAAAAAGGAGACAACATCAACACTGATAGGAGGTGTAGAGGTGTGAGAGGCTGGCTAGGCTCCACAGGCAGCAGCTGAGGTTCCAGAGGGTATCTCAGTTGCGGGAGGCTTCCCTCTGAGAAGTCTGGGGAAGCCCAAACTGGGCTCTCCGGCCCAGAGCACCAGAAGTGGGAAAGGCGCCCAAATAACATCTGGCTGTGAAAAGTACCAGGGTTCTGTTGGGCAGGGACAGAGAGCTAGAAATACAGACACACCCTTAAAGGGCCAACACACTAAATTTCATTTGCAGCCACTTACCTGGGGCTCCAGCAGTGGGAGGGCAGAGTGGACTAGAGCTGTGTGAGGAGAGTCTGGAGTTGGTGACTCAGCAAGAAGAGAGCAGAGAGGGCAGTGGCTGGGATGCCTGTGCTGAGTCACTCCCCCACGCTGCAGAAGCCACCTATCTCAGGCAGACCTTTCCCATCAATGCAGCCTTAGCCTGGGGGGAAGAAATTGCCCCACCTGTTAGAAACCCTCTTACCCCACCCTATGGTTTAGGCTGGGCTGTGCTCTACAGTCTGAGGCTTTTTAAGTGACTGAGACTAACAATCACCCTATAGATACAGGTGGATCTCTGGGTGCTGTGAGTCTTTGCCTGACTTGCCTTTGGGCCCTGGGCTAAGAAAAGCAGACCTGGGTGCACAGCTTGGTCCTTCCCCCATGCATCCTGACCAGCAGAGGGAGCCACAAGCTGTGGATCATTGATAGCTCTAAACAGGGTACTCAAGGCCCGTCACAAACAGTCTGACATTGGCCTGAACCAGAGACCATTTGAAGAAGCCCCAAACCAATAAACCCAGTGGCCAGCTTTCTGACAACAAAATAGGTTCTAATAAGCTCCACAAGCAGTATATCAACAGAGAGATATTGGCAGGCTCCAAACCCTGCAGAGAATTCCGCTTTGTGTGATAAGTAACTGCACAGCAGCTTGCATGCTGTGTTGGGGTTGAGCTTCATTGTCAGCCAACCTGAGGATTGAACCCATGCACTAAAGAGCCAATAGCAATCAAAGCTAAATTAAAACAGGAGGGTCCATGCAACATGCACAAGGAACATTAGAGCACCCAGATCTGGTAACCAGGGAGACTGTGCCATTGGATCCCACGGGTTACCCACTACGTAAGGCCACCTACCAAGCCTGGGAGTTGTAGCAGATCTACCTGATATATAGAAACAAACCCAAACAGGCAGCCAAAAGAAATATGGTGAGACAAAGAAGCCACAAATGAAAGAATAAGAGAAGAGCTAAATGAAATGGAGATAAACTATTTATTAGATATAGAATTCAGAGTAATGACTGTAAGGATGCTCAACAGCATAAAAAAAGATATAGAAACTTTGAAAAACAACTCGTCAGAAATAATGACATAGCAGAAATAAAGAATACAATGGAAGGAATAAACAAGATTAGAGCAAGCTGAGGATAAGAACAATGAATTAGAAGATTAGAAAAAAAACTCAATCAGAGTACCAGAAAGAAAAAACAAAAACCAGAGGACAGTTTAAGAGAGCTGTGGGATACCATAATACATAACAATATCTATATTATAGAGGTATCAGAAGAAATAAGCAAGGGATAGATAACCTATTTGAAGAAATAATGGCACAAAACTTCCCAAACCCAGTGAAGGAAAAAGTCACACAAGTTAAAGAATCACAGAGTCCAAAGCAAGAAGAACCCAAAGAGTCCGCACCCAGACACATAATTAAAGACACAGAATCTTACAGGCAGTAAAAGAAAAGCAATTTATTGCCTACAAAGGAGCTCTCATAAGGCTGTCAGCTGATTTCTCAAGAGAAACTATAGGCCAGAAGGGAATGGCAAGAAATATTCAAGGAAATGAAAAGCAAGGATCTGAAACCAAGACTACTCTATTCAGCAAGGCTATCATTAAAAATAGATGGTGAAGGAGCATCACAGACCAAAAAGAAAGGCAAAAGGAATTTATCATCACCAAATTAGCATTGTAAGAAATATTAAAGGGACTGCTATAAGAAACAGAAACACATGCATAAAGAAAAGGGCAATAAATAAGTACCTATCCCATAATAACCTTAAATGTAAATAGATTAAATGCTCCAATCAGAAGACATAGGTAGCTGAATGGATAAGAAAACAAGATCCACATATATGCTCTCTACAAGTGACCCACATCAGAATAAAAGACTCACACAGGACAAAAGTGAAGGGATGGAAAAAAATTTTTTCCATGCAAATAGAAATGAAAGAAAACTGGGGTAGCAATACTAATATCTGATAAAATAGACTTCAAAATGAAGGCCAAAACAAGAGACAATGAAGGTCACTACATAATATCCAAATAGAGGATATAACCCTGGTAAACATATATGCACCTAATATAGGAGCACCTAACTCTATTAAAAAAAACTTTTGGAGGACTTTACGGGAGATAGTGACAGCAATGCAGTCATAGTAAAGGGCTTTAACACTCCCACTGACTTCTTGGATAGATCTTCCAGACAAAAAAAAAAAAAATCAACAAGGAAACAGTGACCCTAAATGACACACGAGAACAGATGGTCTTAATTGACATTTGTAGAACATTTCACCCCCCAAAGCTGCAGAATATACATTCTTCTCAAAAGTGAATTAACAGAATGATTATGTTTTTCTTGATCTTCTTTACTTTTAAGTTTTCCTTTGTACAAGTGAAACACTAGACTTTTCATTTCAGGGACACAAGGGTCATGGAACAGAAGTGAGAGAAGGATACTGTTCTTTGACCAGAATTCAAGTATTTCAATCAATGGTAAAGGGCTCACAAGAGAAAATGGACTATTATTACTCCATTGGCTAAAAGCTGTCCCATAAGTCCTATAAAATACACAACCAAGTATTCTCCCTGCATTACTCAAATGGACCATTTTTTTTTCCTACTGGACATACTGAATGTGGAGTGAAAGCTGAATAGTATATACCAGCCAATCCTTGCTGTGTAATCTATACATTTTCATTTTAAGAAAAATTCAAGCATAATCCATATTTTAAAAATTAGACAAGAGAGACAATAAAGGTTTTAAAGTTTTCTCTTTGAAAAGATGGTATCTTACAGTACATACAAAAATACTCTGAAAATACATACGACTTCATTTACAAAACACTGAATCAACATATTACAAGAATTACATGGTTATGGATTTTAATAAACTGAGCATGCGTTCATGAAACTTAAAAAATATTACGAAATGCATTGAAAAAAGCAGTGTAAAAAAAGACAACTCATTTAATTAAATAAAAATTACAAAGGTCCTGAGCCAATTAATGGTTGGTAACAATGTTATTCAAAAATGCCTTTGGGTTCCAATAAAATCCACTGCTTATTTCTGCATGCCTAGTCTGTGAAGAAAATGTGTGAAGTTGTGGGGTAGGTGATGGTCAGGAATTATCATGCCAATTTAAATTTACACCTCAAAAATACAAGTTTGCCATACTTAAAGGTATCTTATTGTTAATGCTGGAATGAGTTGCTACTCAGTAAAAAAATACCAGCCAGCTAACAAGAATGGCATGAGATATGATATGTAACAATTTCACCATTCATATACTGATTTTTAGTATCCTGGTTCTATTTTGATAAAGATGCATTTTGAAGGCCTCCATGGGAGGCAAAATATAGAAAATTTATGTAATTACTAGACTAATCCTCCCTGGTAGCTATGGAACATTTTAGACAGAAAGGCACACACACACACAAAAATTTTTTTTAAATATTCCATGTGCCAATCTGGAAAAAATAACTTAAATCAATAGGAGACATTAAGTACATCTACACAAATGAGGAAAGCAGAAAAGATACCTCACATTCATTCATCTCATGTTTCACAAAGTGGTTTCAATGCTAAAGTAAATATGTTAACATTTGGGAAATTACAAGACAATTTTTTTTTGTTTTCAACTTTTTCAATTTTATACAATGATTACAATGTAAGATCAAAAAAAGAAAAAAAAAGAAAAAGGAAGAAAATAAAAAGGAAAAAAGTGGGGAGAGGGAGTTCAGGACTTGTTTTATCAGTGTCCAAAGAGCCAAGAACTGGTTCCCATAGTAGAGAATTAAGCATCAAAAGTTAAGGCAGTAAAACCTCCAACACAAAGCCATAATATTATAGATGACAATTTGACAGCACGTGATCCTCAGAGAAGTGTATGTAGCAATCAATGAGAGGATGCTACTGCATCTGCAGATCAAAGTGTGAGAGTTCAAAAACCACTTGAAGGTTGTCAGATCCATGACTATAACTTTCACCTTATTTTATGTATGACAGCCACTTCTATTTTTAAAAAAGTGGCTGCATCTGTATCACTAATGATTGCATATTCACCTAAATAAGGAGGCACTGCTTTTACCGATTAAGAGTCAGTCGAATAGAATTTTTGATGACACGAATGTTATTTGCTGGAACTGGAGATGATGAATCTGGTAGTTCTTTACTGGGCAGTCTCTATAGAAAGAAACAGAAACAAAGAAGGGAAAGCAAATGTAAGGCCCAACTAGTAAATCAGTCATAATTGAGTTTTTCCCAAATCCTTAATCTCCTCAACATTCAAGTATGTGTTGAATATTTTATCCCAATGTTCATAGCATTTCTTGTTTGGGGGACTTTTTTTTTTTTTTTTTTTTTTTTTAAAAAAAAGTTTTTTTTAAAACCTGGCACAGGAAAGCAGTGACATTCTTCTTTCCTAGACTAACATCAAGATATTAGGACAACATTCTAGTTAGAGATTCCGAGACTTCACTGTAAGGAACATACTCCTTATAACCCCAAGTGTTTACAGTAAGAGATGAAAAGCAGAGGGATAGGAAGGATAAAAGTACAAAGAGTGTGATGTATATGAAAGAGGACTTTGTTAAATCAATCACTACTTCTAGACTGAGAAATACATAAAGAACATAGTCCTCTAAGTCAGGCAATGGCACAGAGAGATAAGAAGAGCTTGGTCACTAAATAGGAAACTCTTGGGGTGTTAGGTGTAAAAATTTGATGCGCAGTTATATCCCTCAATTGGTTTCTGTAACACTGTTAAAGTTTTCAGGACAACTGACTTTATAGTGAGGCAAGATAACTTCAATGATGGTGAAATTCAGGGACATACATATTAGGGATTTTGAGAATACTAAAGATTATTAAATAATGAAGGCAAAGTCTGAGAAATTGAGAAATGAAGACACCTAAAATATAGACACTTGTGTAATGGAAACAGTATGCTAGCTTCATGTCAAAGATGATTGCAAGAGTTAAATTTTCTCTCATGTTACCTTGGCTCAACAAATATCTGATATCCACATCCACTCAAAACAACATGAACAATTTCAAGCATATATATAAGTAGAAAATAGGACAATGAAGGCTTAGATGCCACAGCCAAGACTCAGACATTTTGCCACATTTGTTTGGTTTATGCTCCTACCCTTTGTACATGAAATATTTTAACGCAAAACCCAGACATGTCATTTCATGCTTTCATACTTTAATATCCATTTCAAAGCTTTTTCTTCCATTATCACACCCACATTTTTTGTAACCCACTCCTATGTTAAAAGCAGTTTGTACAAATTCTACAACTAATACAAAACATGATGATACTTTCCATTTTGCTTTAGAACCTGCTGGGGTGACAGCTGACTGAGAAGCACTGTATTTTTTAATGGGGGATTGTGCGTGTGAAAATAAGCCATTTTGTTCTTTGTTCACTATAAACTCTCAGAGAAGAACTATCTCTGATTTACACAAGGCTGACTTTTGAGGACCTGCTTATCAGTTTACCATGCTTACTTATACTACATTATTAGTTTCAAATGGTATTCTTTGAAAAATAATTTTTAAATTGAGGTTTAGAGGCACTTTAGCTCATGTTTTAAGAACTTAAGTATGAAAAAACTATTATTATCAAGTGTTGGTAAGAAATTACTATGCTGGGCACTAAACTACTTTAAAGGTTAAGTAAAAAACAAAGGTTGAACATAACATGAATAAATCATGAAATCTTAAACTACTTCGTCTTTTTTTAGACTTTTGAGGTACATATATTTAGGATCATATACCTTGTTTGCTATTTCCACTCTCAACTATACTGCTGGTCTGTGAGGATAGGGACAAAATCTAATTACCTTTTCCCTTTACCCAGTGCTAAGCTCTTAATAAGCTTTTTATACCTATACATTAACTATGCATTTTAACCTATTGATATCACCTATCAGTAAGACTGTTTTACCTTTTTGCGTGAAGTATCAATAGTTGGAATAGGCATACATTCTCCTCCAATGGCGTCCTAAACAAAAAGAAGAATTACATACAAGTGTAAACTGTCTCTCTGATATACAAATGCTTATTTCTACATGAAATAAAATATAACAAAACTCTACAGATAGATCTGACCCACTTTCAAATACAGTACTTTTCCTGATACATGCCTCATTAAAAGTATTTTGGCCCTAACCCAGCCATGGGCAAACTACGGCCCGCGGGCCGGATCCGGCCTGTTTGAAATGAATAAAACTAAAAAAAAAAAAGACCATACCCTTTTATATAATGATGTTTACTTTGAATTTATATTAGTTCACACAAACACTCCATCCATGCTTTTGTTCTGGCCCTCCGGTCCAGTTTAAGAATCCATTGTGGCCCTCGAGTCAAAAAGTTTGCCCACCCCTGCCCTAACCGGTTTGGCTCAGTGGATAGAGCGTCGGCCTGCAGACTTAAGGGTCCCAGGTTCCATTCCGGTCAAGGGCATGTACCTTGGTTGTGGGCACAACCCCAGTAGGGAGTGTGCAGGAGGCAGCTGATCGATGTTTCTCTCTCATCGATGTTTCTAACTCTATCCTTCTCCCTCCCTTTTATTGTAAAAAATCAATAAAATGTATTTTTTAAAAAAAAGTATTTTGAAGCACACCACTATAATATATTTACCACTGATTTTCTTTTTCTGTTTTCAGCAGCACGTGATTCCTTAAACTTTGATTCAAGTCGAATAAACTAAAATATAAACATTAAAATGATTGCTATTATTACCTACCAAAAATATACAAAAACCTATATAAACTAAGAAACTAGTGATTAGGCTATCATCAAAACTACTTACAAACATATAAGAATTTATATTAGCCTGAATTCAACCGACCACCCTTAATTTCTAGTTTGAGTGATCTTTTGGTTAAAACAATTCAGTTTATAACAAATAAAATAGTTTTACCACCCTCTACTGGAGGCAGAGGAGATCTACATTATAACACACAAATATGACTGTTTAGTTGCCAATAAAGAAGAAACATATTAATCATTCAAGTTTTCAGATAGATTAATAATTTGAATTTAGGATGAACAATTAGAATTGTTCCTTTAGGGTGAGTGTAAATATTCTTTTTGAATAGTCAAATCATAATAGAACACTAAGATAGCTATGGAGAATTATAAATTTTTTTAGTACTCTCTTAAAGTTAATTTTTAAAAAATCAACTACTGAATCACCACTAAAGTTGCAACTTTACCTTTTCTATATCTTTTAATCTCTTTGAAGACATATCTATAGATGGGGAATGGGACCTTTTGGGCACAACATTTTTAGTTATATTTGCCATCCCATTTAGATGTGGTTGTCCCTGGATAGGGTTGTGGGGTGTTGTGATCCTAGGAATAACATTTCGTCCTACTACAGTAGGAATGGTGCACACAGCTGGGGGTGATACAGCTTTTACTACAGAGTCAACTTCTGAAAAGGAAAAAAAGAAAGACTGTAGTAATTAAATATATATGTAGTAGAATCATTACTAGCAAAAGTGTAGACACCTACTTGCACCAATGACTGGAATAGATAGTCCTTGAGCTGGCGGAACACTCAATGGCTTTTCCACAATCACAGCAGCAGGTTCAGTGTTATTCCTATTAACAGTGTTAAATTAACATCACTAAATGATTAAAATTTTACTTATTTAAAAACACTTTTAACATTTTAGGATTACTTCTTTCGAGTACTCCTACTTTAATATTTCATTGAGAAGAGAAAAGGGGAGAAAAAGGCAGATGACCTAGTGAGAATTAAGAGAAAAAAATTTCAAAAGTATGCATTTCCGTGTACTAACCTAGTCCCAAATATTCATAAACCAATAGCAAGTCCCATAAGATTATCAAAAATTCTCCAGTATTTCTAAACTAACTGGTAAAAATAAAATAATTTAACAATTTTAAAAGGTATTTAGAAAAGGTATAGAAAAGTTTACATTATCCTCAAATAAACTGAAGACTGAAAGGACAATTTCGAAATACAGACCTTTCTGTTTCTCCTGAAGGAGAAATATCAGGCTTGGAAGGTTTGTTTGTAGACACTGGGGAATTAAAAGGTGTTCCATTATCAGTGTCTCTAGAGCTATCCAAACAATTGCTATCCAGAGATGATCTTTTGGATTGAGGTCCACTTGAACGATTGACATCAGAAAGACTTTGCTGAAAGGAGGGGAAAGTTTTTAGGATTTCAAAAAGCAAATGAGACAACTTTTCAATTCTGAAATACATATAAAACAAATTATCTTTTGTGATTAATGAAGGTGAGATTTTGGTCTTAGATTGAATTGTCTGTACTGCCCCTCTTTCTTTTCAATGGGTTTTGGAGCTGTAAGAATGAAAATCAAGTGGTTCCCTGGAACCATACTGGAGAGTTAAAATTACAAACTCACCTTTTTCTTCTTTTGAAGGATCTCTGCTGGAAGATAGTGATGAAGCTGTTTTTTTTTAACATGAGTTGCTTCAATTTTCATTCCCTCCTTTAGCATGTTTATATTGTTTGCCTGTCTGTACACTGTAACAATATCAATAGGTTAAATGGAAACTTCTTTCTGAACAAAGAACTGTTTTCTTTTTCTGAAATGCATACAACTCATCACTACACAAACACAAATAACCCCTTTTACAGAACAAATATTTCTAAAACATTTTCACCAGGTCACAATCCTAATCAAATACTAACCGGTTTTCTTATGTCCAACTTCTAAGACTTTCTCCAAATAATATCTCATTAACAATATAAATATATGAAAAAAAGGTTTTATTTAAATCATTTTCTGTTATTTTCCCAAAAGGAAATCTCTTCTCAAAATTACTACAAGGTCTAAGCTAATCCTTATACCAAATATCCAAGATGCAATCCAAGCTCTCCCCCTCCAGGAAGCTTCTTTTACTACGCCAATCATGAAATGTCAGAAACCATCTAGAAGTACATCCTTATTATTCAGATGGGGCAATGAGGATCGTCAGCCCTGGACACCTTTGCTGGGATCAGAATACACACAACCCTAGATTCCCACCCTAGTGTTTTTCATACCTTACAAGAAAACCAGTTTTATTAACTACCACAGAATGTAATGTATGTTAACTGTGATTAGCCAATCCTATATAATAAAAGCGTAGTATGCAAATTGTCCCCCCCCCACCCCCCAGGAGTTCTTTCAGGAGTTTGACCAGGGGGCGGGGCTGGCTGGGGGAAGGGAGGGAGTACACAGCCAGCCGCCGCCAGCAGCTAGAGAAACTACCAGTGCACAAATATTGTGCACTGGGCCTCTAGTTACATTATAAACTTTCTGAAGACAGGGATGGAGGGCTTCTATTGCATGGTAACTATTGTGAAATATGGTAAATCATTTTATCTCTTGGGGTTTCAGTATTTCTACCTAGAGAACATTTTATAAATTTATAATATAGTTTCCCAACCTCTTCATTTTTGAAAACTGAGCTCAAATTAGAATGGAAAAATTTATATCTGTTTTCATTCCAGATGGCTGATAAAAGAATCACCAGAAGTGCTTTTCAACTTGCAGATTCTCTGGCTCCATTCCCAGAGTTGTGATTCAGTAGTGCTAAGGTGATATAAGGAATGTGCACTTTCATGACAAACGTGAGGGCTAGTTCAAAAGACTTTGGAAGCCGGGGCCGGTTTGGCTCAGTGGATGGAGCGTCGGCTTGCTGACTGAAGGGTCCCAGGTTCGATTCCGGTCGGGGGCATGTACCTGAGTTGCGGGCACATCCCCAGTGGGAGATGTGCAGGAGGCAGCTGATTGATGTTTCTCGCTCATCTATGTTTCTAACTCTCTCTCTCCCTTCCTCTCTCTGTGGGAAATCAATAAAATATATTTAAAAAAAAACAAAACAAAAACAAAAACAACAAAAAAAGAGACTTTGGAAATCTCAGAGAAGTCAAATCAAGAATATTGATAGTATGAATGTACACTATTCCAGATTAAGACAACTCCAAATTTATAACAGATATATTAAGATATTCCAGAGAGGTGTTATTAGGGAGCTTAATGTGAAAGACATTCTTGAATAATTGTGAAACATTTAGCAAGCCTGCATTGACTAATAATATATTTTATGTAAAAAAAAAAAAAGTAAAAATCAAGTCATTTTTATGACTGATTACAAGCCCTGGCTGTGCACACTAAGAATCACCTGTAGAGTTTCTTTAATCTTCTTTCTGTTTTAAAACAGATAATTACATTCACATGGTACAAAACTCAAAGGGTTCAAGGGTATTCAATAGTGTCCTCATCCCTGTCCCCTGAACACACCTAGAAGCAACCAGTTCTGTTAGTTTTCTTTTTTAAAAGTATATATCCTTCCAGAAATATTCTATTTCTAAGCAAGCATGCATATATTCTTTACTTATATAAATGGTAGTGCACTATACACACTGTTCTGCAAGCTCCCCTCCTACTGAATATGTCATGGAAATTGTTTCAACATGCTTTCACTTTAATAGCATAGATTTTCATAAAATGGATGTATCATATTCACTTAACCAACTGTAGAACTTTACAAATTCAGCCAGCCAGATCCAAGGCAGATAATACTGCATTAGAGCCAAGGTTGAGAACCATAGCTCTATGATAACAAAGTCTTACCTGTATCAGTAAATGATTGTATATCATATGTCAAGTCTATGTTAACACTTTCTGCATTCTCTACTCTCCGAAAAATTATTCCAAGGAACCACATTGATACGTAATTATTGCTGTAAAAAAATTTTTTAAATTTCCATTAATTCTTTACACTTTTATAAATGCTATTTGGTAATTTAAAAAACTTGGGGTTTTGTAAAAGTATAAATACAAATTTCAATGGTTTGGCCAAATTCTTAAAACTGATGCCAAGAACATTGGTAAATTACACTGTTTTGTTAAAAGGATTAAATGGCTTTGAAAATGACATACTGAATATATATTTAAAGATGCCCCAAATATAGTGATGGAGTTTTTGCTGGGGTCCATGGGCTACCAACATAGCATGTAGTTTGTTTTAAATACATAATGTATCATCCCCCAGCAATGCCTGTTAAACAACAGTTTCACAACTCATCTTAAACAGTGCATGTCAAATAACATTATTTTAAAAATATAATATTAAAAAATAATTAACTCACTCTTTATAATGTTCCTTATTTCCTGGGAATGACTGGGGATTTACATGGGCAAGAGTAATAAATTCATTCCGTTCCAAGTTTCCAACAAGCACACGGATTTTAGATTCTACTAATCCAACCCTAAAATACAAGACAAGATTTTTCCATATTAAATTTGGAAATACATCCAGGTAAACCAAACAGCATTATTAGCTATGATGCTTTACATATTCATTTAAAAAATTTAATCCAATATATTAGTGACTTCAAAATACTATTCAAGTAAAAATGACAAGTTAGTCAATTTCTTTTTTTCCCTTTTTAAAAAAGAACTCATTTATGTAATGCATTCCTGATCTAAAATACCTACCTGTAAAGACCATAAAATAGTCATGATTTGAGCATGGTTAATTTGTTTTTAAATCTTTTTCCAGTTTCAAATTTTATGTCTAAACTAGAGGCCCAGTGCACGAATTCATGCACAGGTAGGGTCCGGCCAGTCTGGCCCCAATCAGGGTGGATTGGGGCTGAGCCTGTTGGGAGGAGATGGTGGGAAGTTGGCTGGCTGACCCGCCCTGATTGGGGCCCGATCAGGGCCTGGCCAGCTGGGGGAGAGGCCGCAGGCAATTGGCTGGCAGGCCCCAACCCTGACTGGGGTTAAGGGGCCGATTGGGGGCGGGGCCAGCTATGGGGAGGGGCTGTGGGCAGTGAGCCAGCTGGCCCACCCCGAATGGGCTGGCAGGTGCTGATCAGGGGCCAGCGGCCTGGGGCAAAGGCCATCGGTGGTTGGCCTGCGGGCCCTGTCCCTAATTAGGGTGGGGGGCCAATCTGGGGTGGAGCCAGCTGGGGGGGGAGGGGCTGCAAGAGGTTGGCTGGCCAGTCCCACCCCCTATTGGGGTGGGGGTGGGAAACTGCAGGCCGATCAAGGTGATGGGGGCCCATAGAGGGTGGGGTTGGCCAGAGGAAGGGGCTGCGGGAAATTGGCCGGCATCGCCCCACATTGGGGTGCAATCAGGGGCGAGGCTGGCCGGGGGGAGGGTCATTTGGCCAGCTGGCCCCACCCTTAATCAGGGTGGGAGAGTCCGATCAGGGGTGGCCCGGCTACGGGGGGAGGGGCTGCGGGAGGTTGGTCGGCTGGCCTCAACCCTGATCGGGCTGGTTCGCTGGCCAGAGTGGGCATCATAGCGACTGCTCGTTCCAGCCGCTGGCTTTATATATGTATGTGTGTGTGT